TTGAAAATTTGCAAAAAAATTTATTTATAAAATTATGGGAGTTTAAATTTTGCACTTTGGCTCTATTACCAGTAGCATTAAATAGACATAAAAAATGTCAAATGTCAAAAAATAAATGTCAAAATTTTTTGACAGATAGAATATTTAAACATTTTTTCCATGTGCCTGATATCTTATCTTACTTGAATTTTTTTTCAGGGGCGCGAGTTGTACACAACTGAAATAAGAAACGGATCTTCTTCACTTTTTTATTTTTGTAATACTCTGGTAAGAAATCAGTGAATCATTTTCAGTTCAAGTGCAAAATAGTTTTAATTTTCTAGTAGCTCCGTTATTTTGCTAGTCACTTAGTAAACAATAATGAATCCGAGTCATAAATAACAACAATAGTCATAATGCTTTAATTAAGAATTTATCAAAATTGTCAACAACATTATTTACGTATTTTGTTTGCTAAAATGTGCATTTTAATTTATATAATTTGCCACAAAAAGCAGTATTATGTTTTTATAATAAATTTAAGAATGTATTGCCGGAGTCTGAGTTTTTGTAGCTCAAGCTCAAGGTCTTGTAATTTCTAATAACCACTTGCACTTTGGTCGTTGGGCAAGAAGTGGACCCCCTTGATTTGGTTGCAGAAAAGATGACTAATGACTTTACTATTGACACCGATTTTAGAAAAGGATTAAGAAATTTTTATATAATAATCGGAAATCTAACTTTGGAACTTCCTATCATTCCAGTTCAAGATCAGGGTCAAAAAGATCAGTTTCATTTTTGGCCAAATATGTTAATTAATCACTGTTTTTTTATTTTTTTTTTAAGGAAAAATTAGGAGGAAGTAAGAATGTAAGTAAATAAATCAATTAGGTCTATAATATCGCCAGATAAGTGCTAATTGGCTGTAAATATTGTTACTTGGTGATACTACCTACAAATGTCTCCTTTCAATTATTACTTAACAATATTACTCAATGTTTACTAAAAACCAAATACATAACATCTACCTGGGTTTAGGGAGTAACGATCCGTTCAAACTCAAGGTTAATAATTTTTGAATGAAAGATTTTTTTACAAGCCAAGAGCAAAAAATCTCCTTTCTGCCCTTGACAAGATGATTCTCTAATTTAATTGATGCTGTCATATTTTGACGTCAGTTGCAAACTTTTGACCGGGATTGATGCGAAAAAAATGATTGACGCAAAGTCATAAACAATGCATATTTTTTGTTTGAATCTTTTGACGTTAATAAATTGTTAAAGTAATTTGTAAGAACCGGATGTTTCTACCGAATTCTGCGAGGTCTTATCTAAATTTGTGTGTTGATTCGGAAACCTTTACTGACCTTAACAGGGCAATGGTCTTACGAGAGACGACCTCCAGAGTAATTTATTGAATTGGTGCTCTCGATATTAATATTAAAACTTGTCATAAGTTACGATAATGATGACAATAGATTCAGGTGGTGACCTCTTTATAAATTATTCCGGGGTTTAATCACAGTGCTCACAGGGTCTAGTTTTTTAGAAAGTCGATTTCTTTTTTAGAAATTATGCATGAAAACAATGAAAAATTAAATAATTTGGAACTATGTATTCCATAAGTTGTGGCTAAAGTTGGATAAAATGTATGTGTAGTTTGAATTACAATTCTTTATTGGTGTGGGGAGATGAACTAATGAGAAAATAGGCACAAGTGTCTATTAAGTGGGTTAAATGTTTTGAATTTTATTATTTGTAAAATTTCGATTTATTAGACAAATCTACAAATAATTTTCGTTATATTAAAAAAACTACATAACATTAAAGTTAGACCACTTAGGAGTTAAGTTAGTTTAAGTATTTTTATTGACATTTAGTATTTTAATTTTTAATTTACTTCATATGGTAATGTACGCAAATTTTATTTTTTGTCATATTGTTTATGTTTACCTAACAATTTTTACTGTTTTTGCCTGAATTTATAGTTGTTTCTTTTTTAACCAATTTAATTAGTTATCGATGAATTAATAATCAAATTACTTTACATGTGGAAAATTGGAATGTATGACATTTCAACTTCATTTAACAAATTATATGGAATATCAGGTTCTGGTTGAGAAATTGTCACTTTCTTATCATTTGATATGTAATATGATGGTTCAGGTTGGGAAATGGCCACTTCTCAACTCGAAAACTGATAAGGAAGTGAGCACTTTCCAACCTGAACTGGCATTTGTCAAGTTTTTTTAATTTTTTTTTAAAGTATTGTTTTTATTTTTTTATTTTACATTTTAATTGTTTTTTTGAACAAAATTATTATTATATTCTACAGGCTATTTCAGAACTCACCCCTTAGAGAAAATTGATAAGTAAGATAAGGTACACTACTTCAAAAAATTAAAGGAACAAAAATATTTCATAATTTTTTTTATGATATTATGAAAAACAGTCGTATATCTAGATTTAATAAAACATTTTGAAGCTTTAAGTTTCTAGTTTTGAGAACTTTTGGCAAAAATTTTTTCTGTGCTACGGTTATCACGCAATCCTAAATAATATCACGAGAAAAAAATCTAATTATTTTTTGTTTTAGTCTACGGACTTGGGATTTTTTTTAAGTTAAGTCAAAACATGTACCGGATAGCATGTTTATTCACCTTTAATATGCTTTTTATATTCTTTTTACGTCAATTCTTTTGCCTTTGATCCTCGATATCTCACAGAGAATATAAAGGTAGTGTCAAAAACTGGAATAAATGTCTTACAAGATCCTTTTATGATTCTTTGAAAAATATTTTTTTTTACTCACTGACAATCTTTGTCAAAATAAGAAAAACAATTAGAAGAGGGAACAATGAAGTCGTATCCTGAATTGTAACTATTACTATTAACGTTATTTGTTGCGTTTATTTGCAAAGTTTTTCTATCTTTACTGAATAATTGTTATGAAAAGATCAAATGTTAAAAAATAAATGTTAAATTTTTTTGGCAGACAGACTTTTTTTAAACCATTTTTCTATGTTTCTGATATCTTATTATATCACTTGGCATTTTTCTCTGGGGCGCAAGCGCTAAACACTGTATACTAAAAATGTATTCGTCCTTGATCTTGACATTAATCTTTTTTTTGGCTTAATTAGTCTTCTTAACTATTTCATAACAAAGAACTATTGTCTGGTATTTTATTATCATAAAAATCTGGCTCACTTATTTTACAGTTAAAAAGAATTAATTTTCTCAACAAAACATTGTGTATCTTGTGGTGAAAATACATTTTTGCGCCTGCTTTACAAGAGGAACTAATTAAATAAATGAAAATCTCTTCTACCAGCCCCAAGCAAACATTTATTTAACTTTTGTAACCGAATCCTACTTTAAATTTCTTCAAAGAGAATAGAACGAAAATGTGTGATACATCAGGAAAGAATTTTAAAAAATTGGTAGTCCTTGACAGTTTCTCTGTAAACAAGTCTGTAGAGAAGAAACTAGAAGAGAAGAAAAAATTAAAATGATCTTTTTTGTTATGTTGGTACTCCATATTTGCATATAGGTACATCATTATTATTTTTATTGCTTTATCCAGGAAGTGTGGTTTCTATTTTTATGTTCAAACCGCAAAGTTTGTTGTAACCGAAAACATTTACCAAAATTTCATTGACACTGGATGATATTTCCGTTATTTCAAATTTAAATAATTTATAGTCTAAGGTCTAGTGTGACACATTAAAAATTGAATATTTTGTATTTGATAACAACGATTGTAATTTGTAAGAGTTGGTAACCGTTTTGAAAAATGCGTTTCTTCATCGTGTAGTACTATGTGTTTCCGCAATACCACATCATTAGACATTCTTTCATTCTGTAGTCTGCGAATGTGGGTTAATGATGTTATTTTATTAAATACTTTTTAAAATGAATTTTAAATAGTTKAGAATCGGATCGAAAGTTGACAATGCAATTAATTATGATTCACCTTTTTGTAAACATGGAATTTAACTCAAAGGAAGTCCTTGCTTAAGGTCTTGTCAGACCGGAAACAAATCGCAGCCTTCTCGCATATTTTGGGCAAAGATATAATTATTTAATAAAGTGGAGATATTTATAGAGAATTTTCTTATAGAAATAGATACTGTGTATGCAGCGTTGCTAAATTAGGCGATTTGCAGTACTGTTTCGAAGGCACTCGCACTTTTATTCCAATTAGCATAAGTAAACAAGGTAACAATTACATTCTTTCAGGTGGGTGGTATTATACAATTATTACACAGGTACTTTATGGCATTGCGTATTTGAAGTTGATCCTATAGAAATTCGTAATGTGAGAAACTTTTTCTTAATGTATACAATTTGGCTCCTAATTAATCATCATGAAATATTAATAAGTCTTTGCTTGTAGGTAGAACATTCTTTAAGTTTAACTTAATTAACTCGGAAAAATCGGTATTTGATACAACAACTGAACTGGAAAAACACTGAAGGAAATTTTCTCCTAGATTAAAAATGAAACGAGTTTTTTTAAATCACAGGTACATACATAGTTGTTATAAGTTCAAATGGAAATAAACCCGTGAGTTTGGATAAACATTTGTGACGTCAATGAATAATTTTACTCATATTTTTTAGTACTAAGAGGAAGTGAAAAAGACAATAGCATAATTTGTTTCATGGGAAATTATTATTTGATTTATTGATGACGATTCGGGTTATCCAACAGACAGTATTTCAGACGTATATTCCACAAATTCAAAGTGTTTAACTAATTGTTTAATAACTTTTTTAAGCAGAATTAACATAATTATTATAAACGCAAATCGGTGAAATCATTGTTTATTTTCAATATATTATGGGGTTCGGTGAAAAACATTTTTAGATATATTTTTACGTTTACTATTATTGCTTATTCAGTGAAAAAATATTCCGAATTCATGGTTAATTCATTAATTTTTTTGTAATTTTTAAAAATTCTGTTGGATGCGCCCTCTTGCAATATTTCGTTGTAACAATTACAGAAACCTGCAGGATCAGTCAGTAAAATTTCATGCCGTGTGCGTTGTTTGTTTGATTATAATTATTCGATAAAAACCTAATTATGGTTAAGCTAACAGCTGAGTTAATTCAAAATTCTATGCAATACATAAATCCGGTTAAAGATCGCGAATTGGATTTACGAGGTGAGAATGAAAGATTAAAAGTTGGGTTATGTCATTGTTTTTTTAGGTTACCGCATCCCCGAAGTGGAGAATCTGGGGGCTACCGGCGATCAATTTGACACAATTGACTTTTCCGACAACGATGTACGCAAGCTTGATGGTTTTCCGTACTTGAAACGATTGAAATGTTTGCTTTTTAACAATAACCGCATTGTGTAAGTTGGAGCTTTTTTGGGGCTAATTTGAGTTGTGGGGTGTTTTAGACGCATTGGGGAGCATTTGGAGGAGTACATTCCTAATTTAGAGTCGCTGATTTTGACTGGAAACCATCTGGAAGAGTTGGGTGATATTGAGCCTTTATGCACTTTGGAGAAACTCACTACACTTAGTCTTTTACATAATCCTATCACTTCTAAACAGCATTACAGACTGTACTTAATTTATAAGTTACCACAGTTAAGATTGCTCGATTTTCGTAAAGTCACTGCAAAGGAAAGAGATGAGGCTAAAGCTTTGTTTAAGAGTAAAAAAGGGAAGGAGATTAGGAAGGAAATTGGAAAGAGGGCTAAAACATTCATTCCCGGAGGTACAGGTAACAATATTGCTAAAAGTAAAGGTACGTTTTTTGTGTTTATGTGTTTTATTTATTGTAATTGMGGTTCTTTTAGGTCTTACTGATGAAGAAATTGCTAAAATTAGAGAAGCTATAAATAAGGCCAGTTCTTTGGAAGAGGTTGAAAGGTTACAGAAAATTTTGCAGTCTGGTCAAATCCCAGGCCAAGAAGAAATGAACGGTAATTTTTTTATTAAGTTTTGTTAGAAATGTAACTTTTTTTTTAGGATACCAAAATGGACAAAGCATGGAATATGAATAAATTTTTTGAGGTAATTTTCAGTCAGGTGTACATTTAATTAGTATTTTTATTTATAAGTTCCGTTGATAAGAATATTGTACTACACAAAATACAAGGTTGAGAAGCGAGCTGAATTAATTTTTCATTTTTTTCTAATAAAACAATACATACAAAAACTGGTAATTTATTTCAAGACTACAACCAAACTTTAAACCGCATTAAAATCAAACTTTTGCCCCTTCGAAATGCACCCCAAGTTCGTCCCCAAAATGTGCAAACTCGGAAAAACATCAGTCAAACTCATCAAATCCTTAGTATTGGGTCGGTCGTTTGGATCGATTTGTAGCATTAATTCAACCATTTGTTGCATCTGAATCCCGTAATAACTCACATCGATCATTTTCTTCTGACCAGCAGCAATGGCCAAAACCACGTTATAAATCTGAAAAAAAATCGATAACAAATGTACGAAAAGCGTGAAAATCGTTACCGTTCCTTCATACATGCGTTCCAGGGCACATATTTCGTATAAAATGCAGCCAAGAGACCAAATRTCCGATTTGATGTCGTAGGGCTTGCCATCGCATAATTCTGGGGCCACGTAGTTGCAAGTTCCGATRACGGTGTGGGCGTTTTTGTTACTAAAAGAGTCGGAATTAATTTTAAAACTAATGAAATTGTCGGTGTATACTTGAGAAGGATTTTAGATATTCCGAAATCGCCAATTTTGATAACATCGTCTCGTAGTCCCGTGAGAAAAATATTTTCGCTCTTGAGGTCACGGTGGATCACTTTCCGGGAGTGAATGTGGTTCAAGCCCATCAGAATTTGGCAAAAGAGATTCATGACAGTCTGTGGTGAAAATCTCTTGGGTTTGGTTTTGGAAATCAGATCGAAAAGTGTCCCCTTATTCGCGTACTCCATCACGATGTATAAAGACCCACTTTTCATAAAGCTGTCGTAAAATTGGATTATGTTGGGATGATTTAGCGATTTTAGGACTGCCACTTCGTTCTTGGCATCTTCCATGTTGACTGATTTGAGATCGGCATTGATTCGTTTAATTACGATTTTTTGTTGGTTGTGTTTTCTCTCGCACAAGTGGATAGTCCTGAAATTGTTTTTTTTTTGTAGTAATTAGACTAATTTAAAGTTACTGACCCAAAAGTGCCCTGCCCTAATAAACTTATAACGGTGTACAGGTCCATGTTTAGTAAAACACACAACTGAATTTAGTATTTATTAAAACGACAAACATAAAAATACTATCACAATTTTTTCAACTAGAATTTTTGTCTACGAAAAACAATTATCTGTACTCAGGGTTATCGTGAAGGCGGAGTTTAAGCCGATTGTGTCCTTCAAAGCCGTGTCTTTCTGGCAAAACTGCCAACTAAAAATTACATTAAGTAATTAATAATTTTTTTTATTAATTAATTACCTATTGCTGTACATGTCGCGAATTTCAACTTTGTCTATATAGATTGTTGGAATATACGTATTGTTATTTTCTTCTTCGTATTCCAAATCAATGAATTTCAAAGTTGCGGTTAAAGTTTTCACATTTTCGGTCAAAGTCTCATAGGCTGCGACCCCCAAGCCGCTCATAACAGTCCCCGTGGTGATTAAATCGTCCGCACTGCAGTAATTAATTTTAGTTGTGTTTTATTAATTAAAAAATTACTCTTACTCGCATTCAATTTGGAACGAGACATTGTGGTGTGGATACTTCAAATCCAGCAACAAAACCCCTTTGATCGCTTCAGTTTTGGGCGAGATGTGAATCGAGGCCTGGAGTTGTGTTCCTAAAACCGCGTTTAATTACTTGAAATTTCTATGTAAATTGATTTTGTTTTACCACAATAAGGTGGTGTTGCTCGCGTTACAAAGAACATAACACCCTCTCCTTTGATGTCTTCGCCGAACCGGCCGATGTCGTTTCGGTAATTTAAATCAATTGCGAGCGAACTGTTGGGTTTTGGTAAATGAGGGAAACAGAATCCTCTTTCAAAGGATTTTAGACCTCCAGGACATCTGAAAGCGGTAAATTCGCAACGGTTTTGGTTGCCGGCGGCCTTGTTGAGGAGGGTCTCTTGGAAAAGGCGCCAGGCGCGGATGTGGCTGCATGCGACTTCCCGAGTTAAAATTTTGTCTAAAAAAAA